CATTTAAATTTTTACTTTTTTTGGTCTGAGAAAATTTTTTCTTTTACTTAAATTCCAAACATATAAAAAGACATGAATGTTAAAAATTCTATTTTCTTCAAATAAGAAAGGGAAAAAAATCTCATTTTTTCATTAATGATTTGTTAATTTAAAAGTCATTCTTGAAATTAAACACCACACTCTTGAAAAACCAATGGGGACAAAGAAGAAATCACAACAGAATTTAGAAAATATCTGGAAACAGATGAAAAAGAAAGGAAAGTATACTAAAACTTACAGGATGCAGAGAAAGCAGTACTAAGAGTACTTTTACAGAGTAAAGAGTTTAGTAAGAAAGATCTCAAATCACAATCTAACTTAATACCTCAGAGACTAGAAAAAGAACAAATTAAAACAAAAGTTAACAAAAGTGAGGAGATAATAAAGATTAGAGCACAGATAAATGAAACAGAATAGAAAAATAGAAAAAAATCAATAAAACCATAAACTTTTCTTTAAAGATAAACAAAATTGACAAATCCTCAGCTAGACTAAGAAAAAGAGAGAAGACTCAAATAACTACAACTAGAAATGAAAGAGGGGACATCACAACTGATGTCACATAAATAAAAAGGACTATATGATACTACTATATGATCTAGGTAGAGGAGATGGACAAATTAGAACCATATAACCTAGGAGGACTGAATCATGAAGAAATAAAAACTCTGAGCAGACCAGTAACTATAAGGAAATTAAAGCAGTAATAAAAAATTGCCCAACAAAGAAAACATATGACCAGATGGCATCACTGAAGAATTCTACCAAACATTTAGAGAAGAATCGGTACCAATCCTGCTCAAACTTGTCTCAAGAATTAAAGTGGGAAATACTTCCAATCTCATTTTATGAGGCCTGCATTACTCTAATACCAAAACCACAAGAAAAACTACAGACCAATATCCCCAATGAACAGTGATGCAAAACTCTCCTCAAAATACTATCAAACCACATTCAACAGCACATTAAAAGGATTACAGTAGTCCCCCCTTATCTGTGGAGAATAAGTTCCAAGACCCCCAGGGGATGCCTGAAACCACAGATAGTACTGAACCCTATACATACTATGTTTTTTCCCTAGACATACAAAAATGGTATTTCTTCCTATACATATAAAAATGATACATATATATGTAAGGTTAATTTATAATACAAACATATAAAATTTAATTTATAAATTAGGCACAGTAAGAGATTAACAACAGTAATAATACAATAGAACAATTATAAGAATATGCTATAATAAAAGTATGTGAATGTGGTCTCTCTCTCAGTATAGTATATTTTACTATACTGTACTCACTCTTTTTCTTGTGACGATGTGAGAAAGAAAATGACTATGTGATAAGATGAAGTGAGGCAAATGACATAGGCATTAGGACACAGCATTAGGCTACTACTGACCTTCTGATACTACCTTCTGACCTTTTGGTGTCAGAAGGAAGATCATCTGCTTTCAGACCATGGTTGACTACAGGTAACTGACACTGGAAAGTGAAACTGTGGATAAGGGGGGACTACTGTATACACCATGACCAAGTGGAATTTATACCTGGCATGCAAGGATGGTTTAACATAAGAAAATCAGTTACTATAATACACCACATTGACAGAGTGAATGACAAATACTATATAGTCATCTCAACTGACACAGAAAAGGCACCCGACAAAATTTAGCATTCTTTCATGTTAAAAAAAACGTAATAAATTGGAAATAGAAGGAAACTACCTCAACAGAACAAAAGCCATATGTGAAAAGCCCACAACTAACATCATATCCAATGATGAAAGACTAAAAGCTGTTCCTCTAAGATCAGGAACAATGCAAGGAGACACACTTTCACCACTACTATGCAACACAACACAGTATTGGATATCTTAGCCAGAGCAATCAGACAAGAGAAAGAAATAGGAAGCATCAAATTGGATAAATGGAAGTAAAATGATCTCTTTCTGCAGATGATATTACCTGTTATGTAGAAAACCCTGAAGGTTCCACACACAAAAAAATTAAACTAATAAACAATTTCAGCAAAATTGCAAGAAACAAAAATCACACAAAAATTAGCTGCATTTCTATACACTAACAATGATCAATACAATAAGAAAATTAAGAAAACAGTCCCACTTGCTATAGCATCAAAAAGCATAAAATACTTAGGAAGAAACTTACCCAAGGAGGTGAAAGACTTGGACACAAAAAACTATAAAACACTGTTGAAAGAAATCAGGGAAGACATAAACAAATGGAAACATGTCCACGGTCATGGATTGGAAAACCTAATATTGTTAAAATGTCTATACTATCCAAAGTCTATATACTTAATTCAATCTCTATTAAAATCCCAATGGCACTTTTTGCAGAAATAGAAAAAAACTCCTAAAATTCATAAGGAATCACAAGTGACCACTAACAGCCAAAACAATCTTGAAGAAGAACAAAGTTGGAGGCCTCACATTTCCTGATTTCAAAACATACCACAAAGTAACAGTAATGAAGATGGTGTGGCATCTTTACTGGCATAAAGACAGGTAATACAGATCAATGGAAAAGAAAAGAGAGCCCAGAAATAAACCCTTGTGTATACAGATAAATGATTTTTGACAAGGATGCCAAGACTATGCAATTGGGAAAGGATAGTTTTTCCAACAAATGGTATAAGGAAAACTGGATATCCACATGTAAAAGAATGAAGCTGGATTCTTACTTTACACTATTTATAAAAATCAAGTTAAAATGGATGTAAAGACCTGAACTAAGAGCTAAAACTATAAAATTCCTAGAAGGAAACATGAGAAAGCTTGTACCATGTTGGATTCAGCAATCGTTTCTTGGATATGACAACAAAAGCAAAAATAGATAAATGGGACCACATCAAACAACTCCCATGCAAACAGTCAACAGAGTGAAAGGCAACCTATGGAATGGGAGAAAATATTTGCAACAGATACATATCTGACAAGAAGTTAATATCCAGAATATATAGGGGACTTAAATAACTCAACAGTAATAACAAAGAAGTAAATAACATGATTAAGAAATGGGCAAAGGAGCTGAACAGACATTTCTCCAAAGAAAACATACAAATGGCCAACAAACATAAAAAGATGATCATTATCATTAATCATAAAAGAAGAGCAAATCAAAATCACAATGAGATGTCACCTCCTACCCATTAGGATGGCCACTATCAAAAGAAGAGAAAATAATAAGTTTTGGTGAGGATAAGGAGAAATTGGAACCCTTGTGCACTGTGATGGGAATGTAAAACAGCACAGACATTACAGAAAATAGTATGATGGTTCCTCATGAAATTAAAAATAGAATTACCTTATGATTCAGCAATCTCCAGATTTAAATCCCCAAAGGAATTAAAAACAGGATCTTGAAGAGTTATTTGTATACCCATGTTCATTGCAGCATTATTCACAATAGCCAAGAGGTGGAAGCAGCCCAAATGTCCATTGACAGCTGAACAGATAAAGAAATTGAGATGTGTGTTTGTGTGTGTGTGTGTGTGTAAAATGGAATACTATGCAGCCTTAAAAGTGAAGGAAATCTTGACACACGCTATAATATGAACAAACCTCAAGGTTATGCTAAGCAAAATAAGTCAGTCATAAAAGCACAAATATTGTATGATTCCACTCATAGTAAGTATCCAAAATAATCAAAACCATAGAAACAGAAAGTAGGAAGGTGATTGCCAAGGGATCAGAATAGGAATTACTGTTTAATGGGTACAGAGTTTTGGTTTTGCAGGGTAAGAAAGTTCTAGAGATCTGTTGTACAATAACAGGAAAAATGGTTAAGATAATAAATTTAATGTTATGTGTTTTTTAACCATAAAAAGAAAGAAATCATAACACTGGCAACCTGAATCTTTAAAAAAAGTCAACCTAGTCAATCTAACAACAACTAGATGAATAAAAGATAATCCATATCTACTGCTCCAATTAGAATCCAGCAGGTCATTTCATGTTGATCACAAATAATTACTCAAACAAGCATTAAACAGATATGAAGTGAGGCTAAGAATTTCATCTTAAAATTTTAAGACCTGAAAAACCAATTTTCTTAAAATCTACAAACAATAAGTACATGAAATTCTATCTGATGAAATACAATGAAAATTTTCTTGGTGAAGGATAGGCCATTATGAGTAAACACTATATATTTAAAAGATAAGATGGGACTGCTACATTTCATCCTGAGTCACAAGCCAACATCAAATCTAATGCTTGCAAGCCCCCTGGGAATCCACAGTGCACGACTGAGCACATTCACACTCTACGTCCCCTGCACACATAAGACAGTCAGCATTTTAGTGACCTCCACGGTTCCGCTGCATTCTTCAAGCGAGCGCACGAGCCAGCACTGCAGAATTTCTTTAAGGCTTTCTACACTGATCATCATCAGGTATTTGATTTTCTAGAGCCTAAAATTTAGAAAAGTACCCTGATACATAAAATATAATATTTTAATGTGACAATTAGGAAATCACGGAAGAGTTAAAAAGCAAGCTCTGCTTGATCTGACAGACAATATCAAGATCAAGAACTCCACTGTGGGGCACAACTTACACGTGTGAGTCTATCCACATTTTATGGATAAGCATTTAAGGTCAGCATGGCAATCTGAAGTTGGCTGTGCCAAGTACAGATGTGGGAACAGTACAGCGATTTTTACATAGGTTATGCTCCCATTTGTTTTTTCAAGAGAACTTTTAAGTAAAAACACAAATGGCACACCATGGTTTTAGCCAATGAGATCTGAAAGAATGTGATGAAATCTGAAAAAAGCAGAATAATAAATCTATATGGGTCCTGTATGGCAACATACTATATGAGCTTTCATTCAGATGAGAACTTGTAAAAAAGAACTTACAAAAAAGTAATACTTATGGTAAACTCTGGGATGGAACTGCTTCCGAGTTCACCTCCAGCACTTCACCACCTACCTTTTGGTGGCTGCTGGCACAGCGGTCTCCTTCCTGGCCCCGGACGGGGATGGCAGAGAGCCACTGGGTTTCTTTGGTAACACGGTGCCATTGTTGACGGTGGTTCTTAAAGGTAAGGTTTGCACCAGTGGTCTTGCTGTAAGACAAGCAGAAAAGGAAATCAAAACCTTCACCTTTGTCAAGGCAACTGTTTACAGAACTTAAGCTATGTAGGGAGGAAAGAATGTCCATTTTAAAACACTCGTGGAATTGATGATGGTGCAAAGACCATTTAATGGAGATTTTCAACAAATGGTACTGGAACAATAAACCTAGATGCCAACCTCACACTGTACACAGAAATGAATTTAAAATGGACCACAGACCTGAGTGTAAGATGCACAACCATAAACTCTAGATGAAAACACAAGGGGAAAATCTGTGTGACCCTGGGTTTGGAGATAACTCTTAGATTCAACACCAAAAGCAAAATCCATGAAAGAAAATATCAACAGCTTGGACCTCACTGAAATCATAAACATTTTTGTGCTATGAAAGATACAGCTAAGAGGATGAGAAGACAAGTCCTAGATTGGGGGAGATATTTGCAAATCACAGATCCAGTAAAGGATGTGCAAACAGAATATAAAAAGAACTCTTAAAACTCACCAGCAAGAAAACAAACAGCCCATTTAAAAAAATGGGCAAAAGATCTGAACAGACGCCTCACCAAAGAAGCTATACAGATGGCAAATAAGCATATGAAAAGATGCTCTACACCTTTTGTCATTAGGGAAATGCAAATTAAAACAGTAATGAGATATCTCTATACACCTATTAGGGTGGCCAAAATCCAAAACACGGACAAAACACCAACTGCTGGCCAGGATACAGAGCAACAGGGACTCTGATTCACTGCTGGTGGGAATGCAAAATGTTACAGCTAGTTTGAAAGGTGGTTTGGCAGTTGCTAAATATAGTCTTATCGTGATTGTGTGATACTAGCTATTTACTCAACCGATTTGAAACTTATGTCATATAAACCTGTATTTAATATTTGTAACAACCTTATTCATGATCATCAAAAACTGGTAGCACCAAGATGTCCTTCAATTGGTGAACGGATAAGCAAACGATGGTATATCCATACAGTGGAATATGATACAGCAAAAAGGCAATGAAGCAATCCATACAACACAGAAGAGTCTTAAATTCATACTGTCAAGTGAAGGCAGTCTGTTTGGAAGGCAGTCTGTTTGGAAGGCTACTGTATGATTCCATTTATATGATGCTCTATTAAAGGAAAAACTATAGAGACAAAAATCAGTGGCTGCTAGACGTAATGTGGAGGGGGGCACGGGAAGGGCTGTACAACACAGAGAAGACAAGTAGTGATTGTATAGCATCTTACTACGCTCATGGACAGTGACTGTCATGGGGTATGTGGGGGGGACTTGGTGATTGGGGGAGTCTAGTAAACATAATGTTGCTCATGTAATTGTAGATTAATGATACCAAAAAAAAAAAATCAGTGGCTGCTAGAGGTTGGTGGGGAGGCGAGTTTGGGAGGCCAATGTGAACAAGTGAAACACAAGGGAATTCTAGGGTGGTGAAACCATTCTGTGTGATGCTGTAGTGGCGGCTATGGGACTCTATTATTTGTCCAAACCTACAGACTCTTAGAGCACAAAGAATGAACTTTGATGTGTGCAAATAAGTCAATTAGGAAATGGAGGAACCCCATGATGGAATGCAGACAGAGTCAAAAGAATCTAACTGCATTACACATAGATGACCAAACCTCGTGGAAGGGGGTGCAGAGGAAAGGTGCTGACGTAAGTAATTCTGGAAATGAGTAGAGACTGCAAGACTATAAAAGGAGCTGCATGCAGCACGGTATTCTAGTTGGTCACGTTTCCCGTGGGGCAAGGGATAACAATTCTGAAGCTTCTCTGCATGAATACTGGAATTGAACCATCGGGGAAATGCATGGAGGGCAGCGGGAGCCAGGCCTGTCACTGTTGGAGAGGGCAGTCACAGGCCAGCAAGCGGCGAAGGCTGGGATGGCCGGTGTTGCCAGAGCAGAAGGGAGGACATCAGCGTGAAGTCATGTTTGGCTTCATATAGCTCCAGGCATGAACGTACAGATGTGGACGTATACCCAGGTTGGCCTAAAACACATATACTTCCTAGCTCTGCCTGCTGAGAGCCCAAGGTAATGACACCTGGTGCCCAGACCTTGGTTTGTAGTGCAATTCCATGACAAAAGGCATCAGGGCTTCTTGGCAAAATGCCAGAATGGGGCTGGGGCAGGAAATACACAACCTGGGCCAGGAGCATCTCACGGTGCCAGGGAGTGAGGATAACATCCTCGGAGTTCTGCCCCCGCTGACTCCTGAACTGCCTCACCATCACCGATACGCTTACTAAATACCTACTTGGCACACGGCACCACATCAGGTTTCTTTCATGTGTCCAAATCTAAACATGATTAGCCACTCAGGGAAGGTGGTGGCTGCAAAAAGTTAAAGTTCTGGAAGAGAAAACTCCCCATGTCCAGTCTGAACAAGTACCTGCCTGGAGCACGAAGCTGGCAGGGCCCAAGAGCGGCTGTAATGAGTCACTTTCAGACAAGCAATCTTTAAAACTGCAGAAGAGAAGCAGCACCAGGGAAGGTTCAAACCCAGTCTCCTGCTCGTCAGGTGCTGAGGTAAACGGATCTCTAGCTTCCAGAGGGCACACTACGATACGATACATTCTGCTGGTTCATGAAAGGTTCTCTTTTTAAAATAACATTTTAATTGTTCCTAGGGGCAAAACATAGACACACAGCATCAAAAGGAGAATTTCTCAAATAAAAGGAGAATGGTTGATATATTACATAGGTTTAGAATGCGATCATCGGAGGGATATCAGGATGGTCGGAATCCCAAATGTCAAGGGAAGCTGAGAAGCACAGAGCAATAACAGGCAGAGTCTCAGGTCAGGCAAGATGGGACTCGCTCTCAACGTGGCTTATGTGGCCCCGGAGAAGCCACTTACCTTCCCAAGCCTTGGCTTCTTTGCAAAATAAGAGTCATGATGCCCACCTTGTGGGGCTGCTGTGAGGACTAGGAATGGAGTTTAAAGCTGACCCCAGAGTGCCCAGCCCACTACAGCCCATACAGGACAGGTGCTGCCCCAGGGCCATACCTCCAGGTGATGAGATGCTTTGGGACATTTCAGTTACGATCAGGTACCTGAGGCAGACCCAGATCCAGCGCGTGTCCCACAGGCATCCTGCACACCCAGGGGGTGCTGAGGAACACCCTGGATGGTTCTTATCCAGAAAACGGCTGCTTGCATCCTCATGCCCAGAAGTGAGAGGAAGTGGCTGAGGTGAGGGACTGAGGGACAGGGCGCTGGCCCAGTGTGTTTCCGACCGGCAGTGTGACCTTAGGCCTCGTCTTCTTAATCCACACAGTAAAGTTTTAATCCATAAATGCTCTAAGGATGTCCCTTTCCTCTCTGAAATCTATGATCCTAATTCATGTGAGAAGAACGTCTGAAAAGCAACATCTGAGTTCTTGGTAACTTGGTCGCCCCGGCAAGTCGGCTCCGACAGCCCTATCGGGCGGACACCTTGGTCCGGCCACCCATGTGGTATTTACTGCCAGCCCTCAGGTGCCCATAAACTACTTTGAGTTAAATTCCCTGCAAAATGACTCCACAGTGTGGTAACTGAAAATCTCTGGCTCTGACAAATGTATTCAGAATCTTAGGTCTAAAACATTCACAATCAAGCCTGAAAAGAAAATTTTCCCATCTTTGTACATGGTCAAGATTGGAATACACAGACTTTGAGAATATATCCCTGATGATGCATTTCCAAACTACAGCTGTAAATACAGAAATTCAAGTATAGCTAGTCAAATCTACTGACGCTTCTTATTGTTATAATCTGAAGATCAAGAAACATTTTTAACTTACATCTTAATAAAAACTTACCGTTAGATTTCAAAGTAAATTTAATTATGCAAAGCATGACTATGTATGTGATTATGTATAGAAGCCCAAAGTATAGTTTTAGCATATCTGATAATTATGAACCCACAGCTCCTAATTATCTATTTAATCATTAGAAAGACTTGGAACTGGAGAAAACAACTTGCTTTTGCTAAATTGTAAGAAAAGTAGATAATTCCTTAAGTGCTGCACAAGATCCCCATCACTAATGATTGCAAAGCTACAGATGTATTTATCCTCTGACTCAACAATCCCACTTCAAGTAACCTATTCTAAAGATAAACTGGCAAAAACACAAAATGCCATATGGACAAGGCCAATCACTCTAGCACTATTTGTATAACAAAAGACCCCCAGTAGGACTGGCCGAATGAACTGCAGCACATCTTCACGGTGAAGCACTATTCCGCTGTAGAAGGACTGAGGAAGCATCTACCAACCGCACTGAGAAAAGCAGGGTGTGGAGCAGTGTGTAGATACGGCACCTCTGACCTACTGTGCTGGAAACCTGACGAACTACAGCAGATTTATGATCCAATTATTTTTAAAAATTTTGAAATTACCAGAATACACATGAATCAAGTTTTCATATCTTGTTTGACAGGTAGATAAGGCTGTCCATGTACCATGTTTATTTATTTGAAATCTCAGGCATGGGTCTAATAGTGCAGGAATCCTGTAACACTGAAAATTCAATGTAATGGAAGTATATATGGGCAAAAAGGATATTAATGATCTGAATACAAAAAGTCACACTTATTAACAACCCAAATGTCTATCAACTGATGGACAGATAAACAAGATGTTGCATATCCATATGATAGGATATTATTCAGCCGTAAAAGGAATGAAATACTGATACATGCTACAACATGGATGAGTCCTGAAGACGTTATTCAAAGTGAGAGAAGATAGTGGCAAAAGACCAGATTGGATGATTTGATTGATATGAAATGCACGGAACAGTCAAATCCATAGAAACAGTAGATTGGTGGTTGCTGGGAGAGGGAGGAGAAATGAATGGTAATGGTAGGGGGTATCTTTTTGGGTGATGAAAATGTAAAATCAGACAGTGGGAATGGTTGTACAACTTTGTGAACATACTAAAAACCAGTGCACTATATACTTTAAAAGAGCAAATTTTATGTTAGGTGAACTATATGTCAATAGGTTGCTATAAATAAAGTCATTTATTATTAGACAACTGGGAAAATCTGAATGCTGACTTGATATGAAGGAATTATTAATTTTTAAGTGTGATGGTAATACAGATTTTTGAAAAGTATTTTTATATCTTTGAAATACATATTAACGTATTTACAGATAAGGTTTTGTCTTGGATTTGCCTTAAAGTAATTCTGATGGGGTAAGGGGAAGTTGGGAGGATGGGGGAAGAATAATAAATGAAACAAAAGAGACCACATGTGGATAATGAAGCAGGTAGCAAATAAGTTATTTTTCTTTCTACATATACATTTGAACATTCACATAATACAAAGTTTAAAAACAATCTTTCTTAGTCCTGAAAAACTGAATATGTGTACTAAATCTTTTCTATCAATCACTAAAGAAAGCTTATCTAAACTGGGGAGGGCAATTAACAAGAAAAAAGAAACTATAGCATGCTCCACATAAAGGAAAGCAGTTATTTTCTGTAATTACCAACCGGTAAGGCAAAGGACGAGGAGAAAATGTAGGCTCCAAGAGAAAAAAAACCCTGCTCTCTCATTTTGGTTACCAGGATGGAGACCTAAGCTCATTAGTCATTAATTTCATTTACTGCAAGAGCTTAAAAATTTCCATTTGTTAGTTACACCCATCTAATAACATTTGTGAAGGGACCGTATTACGCCACACAGTCATGTGCTGAATATGATCTATTATATTTTGGACACTTTGCAAATCAAAGAAAAGAACTCCCATTTCTAGTCACTTGATTATTCATTTCTTAAATACTTGGTTTGATTTGAACAATGCTAATTTTAATAATACTGCTAAGTATGCACAGCAAAGCCACATGGACGGCAAAAAGAAAACATATACAGCCAGCCTTGCGGTCCAGTCCCTGATCTGTCCCTTACCAGCTGTGTAACCTGGGGCAAATTATTCTATCTCCTAGAGGATACTGAATCTGTAAAATGAGCAAAATCACACTCACATCAAAGAACTTTGGAAAGAAGAAATCAGCTAATAAATCCAAATACATATTGCAAAATTCAGAACCTACCCAGTTAATAAATGGTAGCTGCCAAGTATTTTTTGAATATCAGGGTTATGTGTTAATGTAGCAGAGATTGCTTAAAAATTATCTGAGATCTGCTTTCAACAGCAGTTGCAGAGACTAAGTTTTGAGAATAGAAGGTTCCGATGTCCTGGTCTGCAGGACTGACTTGCTTATCAGCCCCTTCAACAGAAGATTTTGGTTATATTTAATAAATCTCTTATCTGGTCATTAAAGAGGCTCTTAATATAACCAGTTATAAAGTCTGCAAAAGGTGTATTAAAGTTTTACAAATTTAATAAGATGTCTGAGCACACAAGCAAAATTTAAAATGAGAAATACGAACCACTTGCTGATTAATGCCTAACAAAGCAGATAATCCCAGATACATGGGACAAGTACTATATGGCAACCTATATTTTGCATTTAAAATCATGCCACAGTCGCCTAGAACTGAAATGGAAATTAGCTGTGCATATACAATGGGCTTATTATGTATTTAACTCCAAACCACAATTCCTAGTCTTCTTGGGAACATGAGGGAAAACTCCAGCTCCAGACATTCCCTCTGAGACCTGCTGTTGACCTCCAGGCAGTGAAGGTCACATTCAGTGGTGAGAAAGGAGTCATTTTAAAACATAAATTTCTTCTGCTTATTAAGGAATATACACCAAAGAACATTTAGAAATCAGCTAAAAATAAAAAAAAGAAAAAACAATCACAATCCTCCCAACTCAGGATGAAAACCCATGAGAGCTCTTTCCAGTCTTCTTTGCAGAGACTTTATCTCTTTGGCTGAAATTATTACAACACACCCAGTTTTATATCCTCTTGTGACTTTTCATGTAATACAAAAGTATTTCACTGTTACCAATAACACCAACATTTTTAGAGACTACACAGCGTTCAATCACATGAGGTGCCAGTTTTCTGGCTATGCCCCTACTGCTTGTTTTTCCTCTATTGTTTTCTATCCAATATGCATAATGCTGCAACAAATTCCTTCACTGACCCAGCATTTTTCTGTATTTACGTTCACCATTCCTGGAATACATAAGGGGGTCTGTCCCTTGCAATCACAGCGTTGAACAACTTTAATTTAGCAAGAATTTAAGAAAACACGCTTCCACGGGCCATTTGATTCTCTTTACTCCACTATACAGTAACCCACACTAAGCAAAATTAAAACATTCCAAATCTTGCTATCTGAACACAAATCCAACATGCGCAAAATTAACTTTGCAGGCTGAGGTTCTCTACACTTAGGAAGTATGACATGGCAACCAGTTCTAGTTATTTTTTTTAAATAACAAAAGTAAAGGAAAAGATGATAACAAAGTCTGGGGACTTAGGTAGAGACTGAGGTAACCCTAAGACCCAGGGCCTATCACTGGGTTAAGAAGGCCGAATAACAACTTAGTACAAGAGGCTAATTCTGGGGACAGGAGAATGCTGCCCAGAAAGCGTGGAGTCTGAGACAGAGCTCCCGGCGGCCACAGGCCTAGCCCTCTGCGGGGCTGGCCACAATCCTTCCCCTGACTCAGGAAGCCCTGGACTTCATCTGCTGGTGAGTTATTAGTTAAGCCAATGAAGAATGACAAAGTAAGTCAAAGCTTAGAGGGCATGCCAACTTCCTTCAAGTAAGTGAAGCGCTGTCCTGAAAGGGGGTAGGAGCTCACCAGCGGCCTCCAGGCAGTACTGCGGCCGAGCAGGAGCTGCGTGCAGCAGCCAGGGACAGCTGCTGACGGGGATGCGGTGCGCACCACGCACCTCCTCTGAGCTGAACCACACACTACATGCTCACTGCCTTCCAGGGCAGCCTGTGTCTTGGTGGCACAGGTGCCTCTCTCAACTGGGCAAACCGCACAAAGACGTGCACCCAAAGCTCAAAACATGGAGCTCTAAGCTTCTGAACTAATCTTGGGGAGAAAAAAAAAGTCACTTCACGTGTAAAAATTAGCATGCCATGTGTCTGCTCTACTTCAAGTCTGTGTGGGGACAGCAAGCCAAGTATGGTGAAGTGACAGTAATGATGTGTCTTCTAAAAAAATCAGAGGAGGTTTGCCTAAAATTCGCCTTGTCTGAAAGATCCCCTACCAAACCACGGCTGCATAGGGCGTGCTCCCTCCAGATGGAGGCGCAGGGCAGTACCTATGCAGCACTCTCCGGGGGAAGCAGAAAGCAGGGCTCCTGCTGGGCTGCCCCCACCAGCCGCTGCCCGCTTCCGCTGATACCCACATTATGAAGTGGGCAAGACCACAGCCTGCCCCCCTCAGGAGGTGCTGCCCCCCTCACTAGCTTTCCTATGGCCTTTTCTCTATTTTTTGGTGTGACCTGCTGGCTACCATGCTTTGATTTATCTTCACTTATGAAAAGGATGTTATAAAGAATCAGATCTATGAAAAAATTAGATGTTTTTTAAAAAAAATCACATTTTATTCTTAATTAAGAAAAGAAAACTCCTGGGTAGGCCTCCTGTATTATTTTTTCCATGAATTTTCTAAAACTAAGGAAGTTTTAAAAGTCTGAAGTTTTATAAAGCAGCTACTTTTGATGTACATTTTGGGTATTTATTTTTATTTTTTTCAAGTCAGCAGATTTATTTTTGGGAAGCTGAGTAGGTCAAGAATACCTAAAACAACCTGGTTTCTATTTAAAATACCCTAATCACTTTGTTAACTGAGAAGGAGAAAAAGATTACTTAAGAGGATTATTCAGGATGAAGACAGGGCCCAGCATGGATATCTCACGCAGAGCTGGTGATAATTACCCCGAAGGACAAAGAAATAGATTTCTTCCCACAGATGTGTGAAAACGTGGCCAAGTACTTGAGAAAAAGCTAACATGCAACATCAGACAGTACCCTCTCCTGACTCCAAGAAAAATACGGTAACTGCGAAATAATTTGTTAAATCCAAACAAAAAAAGAAAGTTAACTTGAAAGGGACATTTACATGCCACAATCTCAAGACATTTTAACCGAAGGTATTTTATAGCCAAGATGAATTCTGTTTTCTAGAGTCAGGAAAAGGGGGATCCCTTTTCCCCTTTCGTGATTCTGGCAAAAGATGAGCCACACATACAGGTAGAAAGCAGACATCAGGTACTATCCAGGGCAGGTGCTTTTATGAGGGGTTGTATTTCCAAAGTTTGAAGAGGGTCACTACAAAGTTAGTTAAAATGCAATATTGCTTTTATACAGCCCGTTTCCAGGCACCATGGGGAAATGAAATGATGATTTCACTTTGTCGGAAATCCACTAGGTATAGAATTCTGTAGTTGGCGACATTCTCATGGACAGCAGAGGAGATTCAGGAGGGACAGGAGGCTCTGCACAGCAGGAGCTGATTATCTAGGAAGGTGGGGTAGGGAGAGGAAGTTAGCGATAAGCTTCAGGACTCTGAGCAAATCAGGGAAGGACCTGTCATCCCTGTGTCCCCAGCCCTTGCTCAGAGCTTCTCATCCGGCATATGACCAATTAAGTGTTCGCTGGGCTGAACTGAATGATAGTATAAACCGAGTACAGAGAAAGAGGTCAGAGTCACCAAAATGTTTCCCGGTGGAACAGCTTCTAAAAGGCACCCAGAGGACCACAGGGTTTTTGCAAACTACCTCCACCTCGAGACCGTCAGGAAACAACTGTTCTCCAGTGCATGGCAGCCCATCTTTCCTTGACTCAACAAGCACTTACTGATTACCTACAAATGTGCACACTGGGCTACACAATTCACCAACATCAAACCAAAAATGGGTGCCCCACTTTGTGTGATGTCTGACAATGCTAAGGGTGTCTCATTGTCTTTCTAAGTTGCCCTTCTCTGTCATACTGAAGAGTGCAATGTATCTGCTGGAGGAAGAACCTTCAACAAGACCAGTTCTCCTGCTGTTCTTGCACATCTAAGATGCCCACCTTTGGTAGGTCCTTTCCTATTAAGCACAGCCTGTTGTTCCTCAGTAATGTTCAGCCGCCGAACCACGTCAGCCAGAGCCGATTTGAGCAGCTGGATGTCATCTTCTTGCATCTGGACTCGCTGCTCCAAAGAGGCGATGCGGTCTGTAACCTCCATGCTACTTGCAGCAGAAGCGCTGTCATCTACACCAACGAAAGGAACATGTGAGTCATTAAGTGTTTCCAGAGCAATCTGACCAACACACATACACTGCACATTGCTATAACATAATATTTAAAAACTGAAGACAAACACTCTTATGTAGAAATCATGTGAAATCTTCTACTATGTAGAACTACAACACCTCATTCTACCAGCCAGTCTTTTCATTCTCTGTGCGTTTCAATTTTTATAACCTGTGTTTTTAATTGCCATATATTTTTTGACGCACAGGCCAACTTGTTATCTTTTCCATGATTTCAGAGAACCTCAGAAGTACAGGGGATATTAGAATATATGTACTTCAACTTCCCACACACTGCAGAAATCCACTGCATGGTCCTCTAGCTTTTGTTCCAACAATGCTAAATGACAGGTAGTCAGATCATCACAAGGCCATACTCTCTAATGGTCAAGACTTTCTGCGATTGGCTCTTCTGACAAAGCGATATGAGGGTCAAGTCTGTCTGGTAAGCATACCCTTATGCCAATAGCCATCACAGTTTCTTGCGTAGAACCATTAATTCCCAGTTCCTTATAAAGATCTGGATCTTTCGGGCCTCTCCGGTCTCATTCTGCATCATCCCTCTTCCCTTCCCTCACCACCATCCGGCCACACTGACCTCCACCTCCTGCCTGTAGGGCATCTGCTATCGCCTTTCCTTGAGGCATTTTTCAACCACCTTTTTATTCTGTTCTTTAGGCCTCTACTCAAATGGGGGCTCTTCATAACTTTCCTAACAACCTTACCTAAAGTTGTTCCATCAACTTTACTTCTTTCTTTCGTAGCATCACTACAAACTATAATTATCTTGTCTGTTGCCTAACTGAAATATAAGCCTCGTGGAGTCGTTTCTGCTTCCAGGCATGACAGACTCCTCTCAGACAGCATCAGCCCCCTATAGAAAGCAATTATTAAGTCTGGAAATTATGCAAAGACAACTGCCTGAAGGTACTGGAGAGTGAACATAGGCATATGGGCTCTGGTGAGGAGTTTACCCTCACTCAGTGGAGGGCAAATGGGGAACTATGCAAGTAAATGTCCTCTTTGGCGGCTGTTAGCCTGAGGCTAAGCGGTGCCCACAATGGGGACTGAGGACCTGGGGAGAACGGCATTGTCTTTTTGTCCTGAAAAACCACAAAATGAAGTAAAAAAACTGTGAACACTGAAGAGAGTGAGGAAATCCCAGAAAGGAAAAAGCCAGCAAGGGGATCCCCAAACTCTGTCTCTTCACATCTCTGACGGACCTGTGAATCACACAGCACGCAGCAGACTTGAGCACTCCAGCTAATGGCAGAAGACGAGCGGTGAGGCTGGGGCTGCTGCACTTCTGCAGTTCCAGTCCGGCCAAGAAAACCACCCACTAAGACAAAGCGAGCAGCACTCAGCAGAGAAGGATGACGGAATACAGAATCTCCACAATCTAACGCTTGCAATATCCAGGATCCGATCCAAAATTACTCGACACACAAGGAATCAAGAAATTTCTCAAGAGAAAAGAAAATAAATTGAGTCCAGCTCCAAAATGAGTTAAATATTGGAACAAATAGGAAATTTAAAATTGATATTATAACTATCCTTTATAAATAAGGGTATTTTCAATGAATAAACATTTCAGCAGAGAAGTGAGAAGTCTCAGCAGAGACACAGTAACTAAAAATGAACCAAATGGAAATACTATAACTGAGAAATATAATTTCTGAAATAAGGAATTTACCAAAAGGACTTAACAGCTGCATGGACGTGACAGGAAGGACCAAGCAAACCTGAAGATAGAAAACAGGAGTATCCAAGGGGAAGAACACAGAGAAAAAAACTTGGGGAAAAGACCCAGTAGAGCCGTGGGGATGTTAGATGATCTCAAAGAGCCCAATATACGCTTGACTAGAACATAAGAAGAGGGAACAGGGCAGAAAAAAATAACTGAAAAGTAACAGCCCAAATGCCCCAAATTCAATGAAGGACAGAAATGTACAAATGCTAACATGTTACAAAATGCTACACAAATGCCAAGCAAAACAAACACAAAGAAACCCCACCTCAAGGTATATATAACCAAACTGCTGAAAACCACAGGTAAGGTGCACTTCCTAAGAGCAGCAAGAGCGACTTGACCTGTTAGAGGCAGGGGAGCAGCGATCTGATTAACAGCTGACTTCTTGTTATAAACCATGGGGACTGGAAGGAAGTGAAACATCTTTAATGTACTGAATGGAAAATATTCAGCCCAAAATTCTATATCCAGCAGAAATATCCTCCAAGAATAAAGGCAAAATAAAGACATCTTCAGATAAATGAAACCTGAAAGAATTCTTCGCCAGTAGATCTGCGTTACAGGAAATGCCAAAGGAAGCCCTTCAGAGCAAGGGGAAATCACGCAAGATGGAAACTCAGACCCTCAGGAAAAAGTGAAGAGCACTGGAAATGATGAATGTCTGATGAGTTCAAGACTTTTTTTTTCACTTTTCATTTTCCTCTTAATGTTCCTATAAATCTTTAAGCTTTTTAATACGAAAACTATAATGCAGTCTTATAGAGTTTAAAAGGTATGTGTATGTAATACATATAACCACTGTAACATAAAGGGTGGGAAGGACATGGATCTGTACATTATTAACTATAAGGGATCTGTGAAAAGTTAAAGATGTGCATTGTAATTCCTAGGCAATACTAAAGAATAATGCAAAGAAGTATAACTAAAACCACAGAAATATTAAATTATAGTTCTATATTCAAGTAATCCCAAAGCAGGAAGGAAAGAGGAAGAGGGGAACAAAAAAGAGAGACAAGTAGAGAACAAAAAACTGAAATGATAAGCCCAAACTTAACATAGAAATAATTACATTAAATTACATTAAATTAAAGTAATGAAGGCATTAAAAATATTAATTAAAAGGCACAGAATGTCAGAGAAAAAAGCCAGAACCAACTCTATGCTGCCTACAAGACACACATTTTAAATACAAAGACACAGACAGGTTGACTGTAAACGAATGGAGAAAAGATAGAGCATGTAAACAGTAGGCATAAAAAGGCAGAAGTGGCAATGTTAATATCAGATAAAATAGATATCAAATCAAATGTATTACCAGAGATAAAGAGAACCATTTCACAATGAAAAAAAAAATCAATTTATCAGGACAAGAGAATCATAAACATGCCCAATAACAGAGCTTTAAAATACACGAAACAAAAATGGACAGAGTTAAAGTGAGAGACAGACAAATTAACAATTTTTACTGAAGATTTGAACACTCTTCTCTCAGCAACTGATGGGACAAGTAATTAAAAAATTCAGTAAAGACACAGAAGATCTGAACAACACTATAAACCACTTTGACTTAATATGCATAGAAAATTACAACCAACAGTGGTAGTGAACATGGTACATTTACCAGGACACATCATTTTCTGGGCCATAAAACAAGCCTGGATAAACTTAAAGACTGAAACAGAATGTTCTCTGTCCACAGCAGCATTAAATTAGAAATCCAAAGCAATAAGAGAACCAGGAAAACCCCTACACTTAAGAAATTAAATAACACACTTGTAAAATAACCATTTGGCTAAAGAAGACATCTCAGAAGAAATTAGAATATATTCTTAATTGAATGATAATGAAAATGTAACATATCAAAATGTGTGGGTTACAGCTAAAGCAGGTCTTTGAGGAAAATTAATAGCTTTGAATCCCTTTATTAGAAAAGGAGAGAATTCTCAAATCAATGATACTCAGTTTTTGCATTAAGTAACTAGAAAAAGAAGAGTAAATAAATCTAAATCATGCAAAGGGAAGGGAAAGAACAAAGAGCTGAAATGAAATAAAACACAAACAATGAAGAATATCAATGAAATCAGAAGCTCGCTATCTGAAAACATTCAATGTAAGCTCCATGAAAGCAAAGATCTTTTCTGCTGGTTCAATGCTCTATCCTCCCAGTATGTAACACATAGTAGTAACTAAATAAATATTTGGTAAATGAATGAATAAATAGGTAAATGGGTATATCTATTAGGAAGCATGCATCAAATTGGTTGCTGGGGATATAAAAATGATCATTTTACACAGTTATCCTTAAGAAGCTCTCTGTTTAGGAGAGAAGACACATGTCCACAAATTTCTAAAATAATTTGTTTAAGTTATATAATTGAGAAATGTGTAAAGTGATAAGTAAACAAAGAGAAGGGGATATTACTTGTATTTGGAAAAACAGGAGCAAGTCAAGATTTGCCTTAACGGATAAAAACATTTACCAGGCGGAAAAGCAAGAAGAATGGCATTCTGGGCAAAGAAAACAATTTAAACAAAAACATGGAAATATCAAAGGGTAAGGAATATTCAGATAATCAAGGGCCTTGAAATTAAAATCCACCATCTTATAATATCTACTTGTAGATACAATAATTCTATCTTGCACCTACATTTGGCCTCTATCAACATTCCAAGGAACAGATAATTGTTTCATACAGAGAAATATTTTCAAGTGTGTCTATGGCACTTCTAAGAGAATAACAGATATTCAATATCTGATAACCCCAAGAACCATTAAACACTCCCATACATCTACAACTGCTAAGCTCTTATGAAGAAAATATTGTATAACTCTTGTAAACATATATAATAGACGTATCTCTTTACAGAAATCAAACGATGAGGTAAGAATTTGCAAATAATCCTCCTCTTCCTAGAAAAAGATACTCCATTCTTTATGCTCTTGATGGAAGATTCACAGTGTTTCAGTTAAGAATACTCGTGGGTATGTGGGTAGGTCCTTTTTCTCTATCTCTCCCTGTTGATTATGACATATAAAGAGCTTAAAAAACCCAACAGTGAAAAAACAGACAACCCAATTAAAAAACAGACATAAGATAAAAACACCTTGAGTATCTTGAAGTATTCCGAGTAGATCACCAAAGTGCAAATAGGCTCATGAAAACATGTTCAACATCGGGAGCCACTATGGAAATGCAAATTAAATCCAC